TAAAAATATCTTCTTATATAAGGATTTTATCTGTCCAACATGCAATAAATGAATATCCATAATTCCTCTACCTTCCTCTTTTCTTTGTATTATGAGCCGCTCCTTGCAGGCATTGGGATGATGTTTTCTGTTTTTGGTTGGTTCGCTGTCCAAATTTGTTTTGTCCATTTTATTATACCAAAGAAGAGACATGCAAAATGCGTTTATAGCTCTGAACATGTTCGTCGAGTTTAAGTTTCATTTAAGGATGAGCCTTAACCGACTGATGTATTGTTTTAAAAGCTCATTTTTTAGCAGTGTGGTCTATTCTTGTGTTTTGTTGGAATCCCTGGTGCTTATAGGTTTCTCTTTTTTGCATTTTGTTCATAGTCTCTTTCTGTAGTGTTTCAGATGATATTTCATCCTTCCATCTTCCCCTTTCAACAACCAGCATTTTACATTTCTTTACACCAAATTCCATTCCAATGTCTGTTGTAACGTCCTCAACGATTTTAAGAAGGCCTCTCATTTGGGTCTTTGTTGAGCTATACATATAATTTGATGTCGTCAATGTATAGAATAGCTATTTTCCTAACGAGTGCGGGAAGAGAAATTTCCGGCACGAGCGTGCGAAGCGCCCGAGTGCCGGAAATTTCTTCCCGCAAGAGTTATAGGAACTATATTTTTTCTACGAGCATACTAAAGCTGATGTTACGAAAAGTTTAATTTGAATAAAATGCGATTGAGCAGAAGGTAGAATTAAAAATGTATTAAAAGGTATTTATAAAAAAGGTGAAGGTAAAGGTATAGGTGTATCAACAATACAAAGAATTCCATGTCACAATGATTATTTCAAACTCTCCCGCACCGATGCGGGAAAAAAGTCTTCCCGCACAGCAAATCGTGCGGGAAGAGCCATTTCCCGCACGCTCGTAGAAAAAATGGGTTATTTTATGTTTTGATAGACGCTGATGTTTTATATTAAAGCCATATGGTGAATTGAGGTGGTTAGAAAAAGGATTTAGACAAAGGCAAAACCATAAGGCACTTAACGAATCACTTTGGAAAATTCCTTGTTTAATAGGTACCTATTCGTTCTGTTTGTATTTGTTCAGTATCTGTGAATAAATGAATTGAGGTTTTCCATGTGGCCATTGCAGTGGAGAGGAAGTTGCGAAGTTTTGGATGCAATTTGTAGAGCTGTAGGACTTTATTCAGCCATCAAGGTGAAACTGAGTCAAATGCTTTCTTATAGTCTAGCATAGCTACTTGTAGGTTTCTTTGTTGTTTTTCAGCTTGTTTCATTATGACACTGTCAATTTGGGCATGCACACACAAACTCTAGGGTTCATTTGTATGTCCAGAAGATATGTTAATCTTTTACATTGTATACTAATTTTGCAGTGAAATAAATAAAATAAATAAAATAATTATTTAACTGCTCCTTACATCCTTGGCTGTTTTGTCGACATCCTCTCTGTTCCTCTGTTAATAAATCGTTTTTGGTAAGGTGTTGTTCTATCTTCATGCATATGCCTGAAGTTATTATTTTATACAAAGTTTATAGACATGTTATTGGTCGATAGTTTGCTGGGTCTTTCGTGTCACACTTCTTTGGTAGCAGTTATGTTTTTCCTTCAGTTAAAAAAGTTGGCATGGAACTGGGATTTCCTATTACTTTATTTATTTTAGATGTCAGATAAGCGTGTAGCGCCGTAAGTTGTTTATACCAGAAGTTGTGTATTTGATCGGGATTTTCCAATTATGTATTTTTTTATAACTTTCGTTAGTTCCTCTACACCATTTCCACTTTTAGTTCAAAATAGATAAAGTTGATTTCAAAAAGCATCAAATGTATTTCAAAATACATCAAATGTATTTCAAAATTACCAAATTTATTTCGAAATACATCAAATGTATTTCAAATTAGTGAAATGTATTCCAAAAATGGTCAGTTTTATTTCAAAGATTATCAATTCGGTTAAGAAATAAAGTAGGTATGTGTTTATATCGTACAGTTAAAAAAATCAAATTATAACCAGACATCCTGTACCTCCCTTACAGTTTTTGATGATATGAGAAATGATGATTTTGAAATACATCTGATTTTTTTTGAAGTATAAATGATACAGTTTGAAATACATTTGATTAATTTGAAATACAAATGACATATTTGGAAATAAAAGTGACAAATTGGAAATTAAAATATCCATTTTTGAAATAAAAGTGATTATTTTGAAATACATTTGACCCATTTTGAAATACTGTTGGAAATGGTGTAGACTGATTTTGTAGTCTGTTTGCTCTTGAATATTTCTTTGTTTATTTTCTTCTTCCAATATCCATGTAGCTGATTCGTTATGCTCAACTTCTTTTGACCAAATTCCTTGCCAGAATAATGTAATGTCTTATTTTGTTGGAGATATAACTTTTGATTCTTGGTCATATTTGAAGCTGTGGTAGAATCGTTTTTCATTTGTGTTAAAGAGAAAGTTATCCATTTTTCTACTATTTGATTTGTAATGACCCGGGAAAAATAGACCTGTAAGTAATTTACAATGTCTTATCAGTAAAAATTGAATGTTATCAAATAATCAAAAATTGAATCTCCAATATTTCAAATCAGTATCAATAAAACTGGAAAATGATGAGACAAATTAGCGTTAATCCCAATTTAATTAAAATATTTCATATACGTTCAAATTCTAATAGCTAGTGACCAAGCGCGTTTCATCACTATTGAACTCATTAATCAAAACCAGGAAAATATTAAAATCAAGGTGAAAGTAATTAAATTGGTGATTCACGGCCGACGCTGACACGAGTTATCGGTGTCCTTTGATTTATTGATGTATATTGTTTGTGTGGACGGGGTTTTCCGTTTTCACTTTTCTGCCGATGGGTTGATGTTGCTTATTATTGTAGAGTATAAAAAATACTCTACTTTGTTTTTATAAAGATTTTTAATATGTGAATACTGAATAAATTCTAACCGAATTTTAGACAATTAAAAATTACATTACATTGATAAATGGCTTGCATGTACCGACGGGTGTTGGTGTTATTATTGAGTGCAGGGTGTCTGCCTAATCATGTTCCGATTTGAACACTGCATTATGAATATACCTAACAAATCTCTATGTAATAAATTAACAAAATTTAAACATATATGTCCTCACATTCTTAAACCAAATCTGTTGACCCCGATAATCCAGGAAATTGCGACATAATTATTCGGTTTTAAACAAATTAATATATTTCTTAGAAGAAAAGAACGGTCAATGAAATGACATGACCCGGAATATTTTTAAGGAAATGAAAAATATAAAAACAGCGATTTTGAAATCAGTTTAAGTCCAGTTGAGCTTCAGTTCAGTCTTGAGTTTAAGTCTACAGTACCTAATGAGTCAGTGCGGATAAAATTCGCGAAGAGTTTATTTTATTTTGTTGCCTCGGGAAAACGCTTTAAATTGAATCTTTTAAAAAGTAACGAAAAATTGTGCAAGAAAGAACATTTAAATTCGTTCAACATTATGTGCAAGCTCTAAATAATCAAAAGAAATTAGAATAATTAAGTGACTTTAAGGGCGATAATTTAAATGTAAGTACTCTAGTGACATGTTTATTTGACTTTATCAATGATTTAAATGACTAGGAAGTGAATTGACTATGGAACTTTATTGCATAAATATGATTATCTTGAGTGACTTGACTATGAATATCTTTGTGCTTAGTATAGATAGAGAAATTTAATTCAAATGACTGTTAATTGAAATGAATTTTTCTGAAAAGTTGGGATAAGCGAATAACTGTTTTGTTCCGTCCAGAAAATGATTAGCTAGATATTTTGGTAAAAAGTAGTAGCTTTCCTCATACCTGATGAGTTGCTGGCACATCGGTGCTTCCCTTTTAGTCGCCTTTTACGACAGGCAGGGACTACCGTGTGGACATTCTTTATACACCCGTACCCCACACGGGGGGTTATTATTATTATTATTGTTATAGCTAGCACAATGTATCATAGCAGACAAAGCAACGTTAAGTCCAAGTTTATTCTCCTTCTGATAAACTGTCAGGTATGCAATCTGGCGGGATAAAAACGCACTGTGTAATACATATTATTGGTCGGCCAGTCATTCGCCGACTAATAGAATTATAGAACGGTAAATTTATCTTGCAGATAGTTACCAGCAACTTTATCTGAATATGAATAAACTGGACCTAAAAGGGACAAGAATACCAAAAATACATGATGAATGCCTATTACAAGAAGTATAAATGTTGACCGTTTATGAAATATTCCTTAAACTGTTGAATCCATTACAATAACCATTAAGAGGGGACTCTAATTAAAAAAAAAATACAATATTACCAAAACAACCTTGACATTGAAAACTGTATTTTTTTTCTTGAAATTATGAAAAACTTTAAATTGCTGTATCTTAGAAACCAATTCACCTACAAAGACCAAATTAGTTTCGTTTTTTTCTAAATTTTGTTTACTAAAAAATTGTACATAACGACTTTTGCCGTAACATTACTCTTTGGTGTTCAAAATATAGAAAAAGTTGAAAAAAAAGGTGAAAAATGTAGCGGTTTTAGTAATATTTAACAATGATCTCGGGGGCTTTTAAGGTCGAAAACTCAGATTTGTCATTACCACTGCATCAGATACAACATATCAAAAAATCAGAACTACCTCATTTCATGCAAGGTAAAATGTACCAATTCCATGGACTACAATCCCGCTGTAACAAACTTCATTTTCTCTTAAAAGGTCAACAGCCCCGATCAAAGCTACAAAATACTATATTGTGATTCTTAGCTCAGATTCAAGGTGAACACCTTTTAGGTGATTATCTATGTCTCGTTTGTTTTATTTTCTCTATATTTTAAGTATTTTTTAAAAACATTTAAAAGTGGACCACGTCTCGTTTGAATAATTACAAAATAAATCTGTTAATTGAATGAAAATTCCCCAAAATATCAACAAAAAAAAATACAAATTGTGATTCTTTTAGGCCAAAATTAAAAATGTCGAATACTTCTGGACAAGAAAATAAACAAGTTGATAGCAAAATAGTTGAGAGTTGGTTAAAATCAACCAAAGAAAAGGTGCAAGAAGGATTGAAGAAAAATTTACAACTAGTCACGACTGTTAAGGGTCTATTTTTGGTTAGGGAAGAATCACTAAAAATTGGTAAGTAATTTTTTGTTTGTTTTATAATATACAATAATTCGAATTTTGTTCTAGAATTGCCCGATTCATGGAGTAAAGTCTGCGCCGACTTACAATTACCAGAAAACTTTAACATTTGGTACTATTTTTTCCAAAAATTAATCACTTCAAGAGCAGAAAACCTTATTTCTACTATTATTAGGAATAGTTTGCATGATATTAAAAATGATATAAGTGCATCACTCAAAAACGGACTAAAAGTTGGTAAAAGCGAACTGGATTTGAGGTGGTACGCTTGGAAAGAGGACAGTGGGGATGTTAGCAAATTTGAAAATGATCATACAGGTAACTTCAAAAATATTTGCTGAATGTATTTTTTTTTCTACACCAAGTTAGAGTTAATTATTGGTTATATCCTCATCTTGTTTTATTTTAGGTCTTACAATGAAAACCAAAGGTTTTTCCCACTCTGTGGTAAACTTATGTGAAAAACTCGATCAGCAATTTTTGGCACTATTAGAAGACGTTTCGCAGTATTTGCATGGCACTGAATACAATGCAATGTCCAGTATACCATATTTATTGAACGACTACAAATTCAAACGGAAATTTATCGACAAGGAAGAATTAGAAAATCATTTAATGTTAGAAACTAGCAAATATTCATTAGAGTAAGTACAAAATACAATTATTATACTATTTTTTACTAAACTAATATTTTTAGAATCCCAAAATACCTCATTGATTTCCTCTCAGACGAAACTGGCACGGACTTAGTAGCAAAATCGCTTTTGTCTGCAAGATTTCTTCAAGCCAGCTGCAGTCTTTGCGCTAGTTTCCAAAAATGTTGCGAATTTGGAAATGAGCCTGGGGAATGGCGAAAAATTTGTGATACATTCACAAAAACTAGTCATAGTTTGTGGATGAATTGGGTGAATAGCACTGTGGCAAAAACTACAGATGAAGTGACGTCTTTGAGTGATGTTAGCCCAGAAAGTATGATGGAGTTTTTGTCAGTAAGTTGGTTTATCGAGTATTTTAAGAAAATGTTTATGGTTCTTCAAATCTAAAATCAAATTATGTTCAAAACTATCTAAGAAGGATATGTCTGAACTGAAGAAAAATGGGAAAAACTGGATTTGTTTTAGCCTCGGTTTTAACTGTGAAGCAAATAAAAATATTTATAATCCAGATTTAATATCTCTCAAAGAGGAGAACAATGCTCTCAAAGAAATAATCGATCATTTCCCTGTAATAGACTTGAGTAAATTGGTTGGGAAATACAGTATTTAGTGTTAAAATAGTCCAGTTAAACTGAACACTTCCAAGTCTTGTCCTGTCGCCTTTAACGGATTTGTATCTCTGGAACTATAAGTACAAATGAGGCAAAATTTGGAAGATTCAAGTATAGTCCTCCAGTCATCATCAGCAAAACTACTGCATTTACAGACATTCCAGATTAATATCTGCGACACAGTTGGAGATTTAATGCAGAATACCTACTCACCGTTTCCTTCAGAAATGTTGAAATTGGCAATGAAAAATGTTATCCTTACACAATACAACAGATGGAGTTTTTTTTATTTCGAGTAATTTTGATATACATGCATACATGTATACATACCACTTTTCTGATAACTAAATCTGCGTCCCAAAGGCTATTTGACCCCATCTCACTATATACAGATTTGCTGAACCATAGAAAATTATTCCAGAGTTAGGTGCGCAATTTGCAAAATCATTAAAACTGTAATTTAAACTTCTTGTTAACAATTTTTTTTTTCTTAGAGATGGGACGAAATCGAAATCCAAGAACAAACCGAGGAAAAAATCTTCAAATCCCAAATAAAAGTCCCTCTAAAACCCAGCATTCCGTTAACCAACCTTTTAGTCCAACTGAACCAACACCTCAGCCAAATTTTGCCTTACACTTTACCAAAACCTATACATGTGAATTTCATTGAAGCCAACATCAACGTAATTTTGAAGGAATACGAAGGAATTGCTTCGAAGGATTTGAATCAGATTCAAGCCTTACAATTTCTTTTGGATGTAAGGTTTCTCACTACTCTGTGCGTCCCTAGGGAGAATTCGCAAATGGTGAATTTCGCACAAAGCATCTGTGATAAATTACGAAGTAAAATTGATCCGTTTGATTTGGATGTTTTTTATTCGTATTTGCAAAATAACGTCAGGAAGGCAATAAGTCAATCACAGGTAAAATTCCAATTTTTTTTTTTCTAAACACATCTGAATGTATGTTTTTTTTTAATAGACTTTGTTTGGATGTCTTTTGCCCTCCACTACCCAATTGATGAACCTGGGTACTTACACCAAAAACAAAGAACAAGAACTGAATCCGTCATTAATGGCTTTTAGTATACCTTCAACTAATGCTTGGTTCCCACTTTTACCGATTACAGTGCCATCACAAAAATTACCTGGACAAACCAAGCCTGAATTTACAGTAAGAATAATTTTTTTGACTTAATTTCATTGGCAAATGAAATGTTAAATTTTTTTATTTATTATTTAGGTTTAACAATTCCTCTTTATTATTTTATCGGTGTCAGACATTAGAGGATAAAAATGTATGTGGTTTGTTGTTTTACGGGTGATTTTTTGATCACTAACCTACTATGTTGGTTGCACTAATTATTTTTTCTTTTTAATGGTTTTTTATTTTGCTTTTTAATGGTTTCCTCTATTCCCAATTGAATGTTTTTTAATTTTTTCCATAGGAAACTCTACCAAAACCGTCAAAGTCAACACCCAAAAAGACCACTCAGGATCCAGCATCGATGATGCGACAAGGTGCAGTTTCTTTGTTCGGGAATTTTTCGACCGATTGGTTTTCGTAACATTAAAATGCCATGTATATAATTCTTTTGTTTTTTTTTTAACATAAAATCTATCATGTGTTATACTTAGGCTGTTCTTAAGATGTACATTTTTTGTTATTTATATTATAAAAGTTTCGTACTTGTACAGTGCAGTATTTGTTGTAATATATTATTATTTAATGTTTACAATGTTTTTATGTTGTAGAGTAATTTAACTAAAACATACATATTTTGGACTATTTATATAATAATCTTGCTGAATTACAAAACTAGAATTCTTATGATTAAATTATCTGTCAATTAGGTACATATTATTATATTGATATTAATTTAATTGTGTCATGTGTGTTTTTTTTTTGTTAAGAATTAAAAAAAAAATCGTATGGGGACAGTTATTGGTTGTGAGATTTTAACAGTTGTATTCATTCATACTATATTGATGTCGATCTTTTTTATCATTTTCATATTGCAAATCTATGGAAGTTCAAAGAAAGTATGGCACTGAATATTCTGACTTTTGTTACATGTTCTATTGAATGATGATAAGATTTTATTTTCTGGTGTTAAGGGCGTGAAGAAGAAAAGAAGGATATAATTTTCTCGGTATTTGGATAAAACGTCGAATTTTGCGTCAATTTATTTGACTGTTGTTATTGTACATGAACTAACGGAAACTATTATGAATCGAATTGTGTTTTAGTTAAAGTATTCTCTAGTTTTTCAGAAGATATTCCGCTTTATAAATGTGGCAATCAAGAAGATCCATCAAATAGTCTATAGGTTTTAAAGACTACAATTTCAAATAAGGCAAAATTTGCAGGATTTGTAGTCCTTCAGTACAACTACAACTAGGTATACATTCTCAAATTTCAAATTTATAGCTATGATACAGCTGGAGGTCGTACATAATTTTTCATAGTTTTTAGAAATTTTATTCATAACACTCCCTTCACAAAATAATGTTGAAATAGTATATTAAAGTATAAGTGGATATTAAGAAATAGAGCGTCTCAAAGCTTATCCGAACTCCGCTTCGCGTCGTTCATCTAACTGCTTTTTCGTCCGGGAAAGTATCGCTTTGCGCACTTGTTAGGAAATAGTATATTTCCTAACAAGTGCGCAAAGTACGTCTTGTTCGCACGCTGACTGCAGGCACTGGCGGCTCTATCTAAAATATGTTGTATTTCCTCGTTCTTTTCAGCTGCAGTGTCCAATTTTTTTGAGACTATCTAGGCTCAGGCTCACGATGTAGTTGAAATAATGACCCTTTGATGATAAATTAATTTGTTTGACACACTGACATGACAGACCTATAACCACTGACGGCAAATTTCATGCAATCATAAGGCCTGGTTTCCACAGAAATCACAAACCAGTCAGAGCGAATTTCATTCGTTAAAAATAGTCAGAAAACTGGTTGTTGGCGATTTGCACCAATCAAAAAAGCTCGACTGGTTTGTGATTTCTGTGAAAACAGACCTTTTACCGGTACATGAATATTTTTACTGGTACTTTGTCAAAATTAAATCTTGTCAGCACTAATGCGCAAAATTAACTCTTGTCTGCACTAGTGCGCAAAAGTGAATTTCGCGCTACCAACTGCGTTTGCAAAGTATCTATTTTGCACACGCTCATAGAAAAATAACTATTTGATTGGTGCATTTATTGTTTCTGCGTTTAGGGAATTTCATTTATAGACTTCGCGATTGATTAAGATGTTTTTTCTTTCAAGAAGAAGGGTTCTCCTCCTTTTTAAGTTTTTGGTGGTATCCTCTACGGTTGAAGTTTTGATTCTTTTAAAACATATCTTCTAGTTTTAGGACTGTAGAGTACTAGCCATTAAAGATCTTGTATGTTTCAATAAAGTCTCCGCTCTCCGCTTTATCTAAGTGTTGTCAACTGAAATTTTTGTAGTCTTGTTTCATATGGCAGGTATGTTTCTTAGTTCTGTTGGAATTTTAGGTACTTATTTTTCTCTGAACACTTTCTGAGAGATCCATGTCTTTGATGTAGTAAGGAGACTAAACTCTGTGGCCATATTCTAGTTTTGTTCTAATGTAAGTGGTGTAAAGTTTCCTTATCATTTTCACATTTTGATTTTGGAATCTTGTCTCATAAGGTATATTAGTTGATTCGCCTTTTTTACTGTGTGCGATATATGGGTTTCCCATTTGGAGATCATCAGGGACATAGACTCCTAGGTCTTTTTTTTCTGAGATTTTTTTGAGTTCGACGCTGTTTATTTGGTAGTTAAGTCTAAAGTCATTTCCTATGTGTGAAACTGCACACTTTTTTTCATCCAGTTTTGGCTGCCATGTGATTCTCCATTTCTCTACAGTCTACAGTACCTACTCATGTCTTCCCTTAGTTGATGCAGTTGTGTTGAAGGATTTCCATATAGTTTTTTGTCATCTGCAAAGGATTCAACCATGGTTTATATTCTCCGCTGACGACTGGGTACCAATCAGAGCTTGTTTCATTTGCTCGAACATAAAAAGTTCTTTGCTTAAAAAAGGAGCTACTTCATTGCAGGTAACTTGCCTCATTCCATAATGGCTCAGTTTCTCTCTCGTGTGGTACTGTATCGAAGGCTTTTTGGGGTGCGATTTTCGAAACCATTCGAGTACCTTTCGTACAGGAAATTTGACTGACAGCAATGTAAATTAAATGGGGAGCAGTCAAATTTCGTGTACGAAATGTACTCGAATAGTTTCGAAAATCGCACCCCTCTGAAAGTCAAGATATATTACGTCGACTGGCTTGCCTTCGTCTAGATTTGCAGACCAATCGTCTAGACTCTAGACAACTGAGAAGATTTGTTGTAGTAGACCTTTTTGGCATGAAGCCATGCTAAAGTTCCTATTTTATTTTTGAAGTGAATACTTCTTTGGCCGCATGAGAGTGATTTTTCAAGGTCGCGTCACGACACGATTTAAAAAATTTTCGTCTCGCAAGTGAGATGAAGCATATTATGATGAATATGAGGGAGAGAGAGAGAGAAAGAGATGGTGAATGAAAGAGAATATTGTTCTTAACGCATTAATGTAATATGTACAATACATCTCTCTCTCCCTCACTCACTCACCCTTAACGAATCGATAAATAAGTATTCACTTCTATCACGTGTACTGTGCTGCACGCGACTTTTTTTTTTTGGTTCTTGGGATTCAGATGTTTTGTGGCTAATTTTGAGAGTTATGGGAGTTACTAGTTTTGGGTTTCCAGTATTGTACCTCATTTTTAGGTCTGGTTCATTTTGTTTTCTTTTTTTTTAGTTCACTAAAGAATTTCTCCGACATGTTTTCTTTGACTTATTGTTTGGTCAGGTTTGATATACCTAGTGTCCTGTCCCTCCGATTTTGAGCTATCACCAGCTCTTGATGGCCTCTAGAAAAAACATCCAACGCCTCAAGAGCCAATAATAATTAAAATTTGGATCAAAAGTAAGATTTTGAAACACTAGGAAAATATTTCTAACAAATCAAGAGTCAGTAATAATCAAATTTCCAGATATTACCGGCTCTTGAGGGCCTCTAAAAACAATATCCAACTCCTTAAGAGCCGATAATAACTGAAATTTGGATCAAAAATGAAATTTGGAACACTAGAAAAAATTCCTAACTTGAATAGTTTTTTGGAGATTTCAAGAAAATTTAGCACAAATAAATTTATAAAAAATAAGAAGCGCAAATCTACGAATTTCAGTAGAGACCGAGGGATAAACCACCTTGGAAATATAGTGTACAAACATGTGGGATTCAAGTGGAATTCTGTGGAATTTCTTGGGATTCCATGGAATTCCAGTGGGGTGAATAAATGTTTTTATTTTGTACAGGGTTATTGGTTTCAAATAAAAAATTTATGGTTGAAATTAATTTTTTTGAAAAACTCACTTTTGCATATACAGGGTGTTTCAAAAGAGCTGGTAGTGCTCCAACTTTCTTATTTTAAATTGAATACCCTGTATATTATTCAATATTCGGATTCTACATAAAATTCTGAGCAGATTTCATGTGATATATATACCCTATACCTAAGTTCAACTGTTTTGGCAATATTGACACTTGAACATTGACTTTTTTGCAACTTTGACAGGCTGTAAATCCTAAACGGTTAATTTTAGAGCAAAACCGATCTTACATTCCTGTCTTATACTTTTATAAACTAGCAGTTGACACCAATATTTGACATCAACTTTGAATTTAATCCATGATTGAAAATTCCAATTAAATTTAATCTTCGGTTAAATTCAAAGTTGGTATCAAATAATAGCTTGTGAAAATATTAGAAAAAAATGTAAGATCGGTTTTGCTCAAAAGTTAACCGTTTAGGTTTTACAGCCTGTCAAATTTGCAAAAAAGTTAATTTTCAACTGTCAATATTTCTAAAACAGTTGAACTTAGGTATAGGGTATATCACATGAAATCGGCTCAGAATTTTATGTAGAATCCGAATATTGAATAATATACAGGGTATTCAATTTAAAATAAGAAAGTTGGAGCACTAGATGCAACCTCCACATATTTTGGTCGCGCAGATTCGATGTTATGCTCCTTCCTGTTGTTTTATGTTCAAAGATGGGAGAGATAACCAAAATATTGAATAGGCGCTCCACCATTATGTGCCGTATTTATTTTTATGCTGTGTTTTTATGCTCAATTTACTCAGTTGCGTTAGTTTTTGTTGCCATAAATTGGATAAAGGTATAGGATTACTTATTCTTTAGTCATAGAATCACTTAGTTCAGAATCAGTTCTGAATTGAACATAAATAAACAAATGTGCATGCGCAGCTCAATTCCGAACAAACCTATTATGAAACTGAAAGTGAAGCATTTTCATTCAGCGGTTTTCAGTTTTCACGCACAAAGGACACAACATTGACAAAAGATGTTTTTTTAAAGTGTTCTGCGTGGTTTGATGTGATAATTTATGATGCCTGTAAAATTTTTCAATTGCTTATTCACCGAAACATAATTTTCCCGAAAAAGTAATAGATTTTTTCCTTTGGTAATAGCGTAATAGAAATTACTTGATTGTAATAGATCTATTACGATTGTAATAGGGGTGGCAACACTGAGCACTACTAGCTTTTTTGAAACACTCTGTATATGCAAAAGTGAGTTTTTCAACAAATTTAATTTCAACCATACATTTTTTATTTGGGACACTTTTTTCTAAAATGTCAAATAAAAAAGATAGAGGGGGTGACATTTATAACCAATAACCCTGTACCTATGTAGTGGCGGCTAAACTGAAAAACAAGACTTTCTTGTTCAGAATCTTTACTTGCTAGTATTCAAAATAATTCTGAAAATTCACAAGCACTTACATGGAATTTCTCGAGGAATTCTAGTAGGATTATTATTATTAGAACTTTATTAGTTTCCCAGAAGGCCATCGACCAAAAAGTCCTTCAGCCAAGGTAAATTTTACAATGACATATAGACATAAAATATTTACAAATAGGTATGTTGTATAACTAAGGCCCAGAGTTTCAAAATTGGTGATAACCTGCACTGGTAATCAAACTATAGTTGCGGGTTATCCAGGAGTTTTCAAAATGAGGATTGATTTAAGTAATCTGATGATTGACCAATGTTTTTGACTCAGCCACACATTAATCATTATGAAACAGATAAATTAAATTGTAGGTTACCAGTGTCTTTGTGGTTACCTTTGGGTTGCCGCTGTTCGTGAAACTGGCCCAAAGTGGATATTAGTTCCGTTTGTGTCAAAAAAAAATCTAATTCGCTTGGAAATCCTGTTATCTTTTGTTCTAAAGTGGCTCTAAAATCTCTATGTTATGCGGTCTTGAAGCAAATTTCTTGCTGAGCTGGTGGAGTCTCTGATAGATTGGTTCAATTCCTGTCCTCTGATAGAGCTGTTCATTTCTTCCGTTAAAAGTTGGATTCTGGTGTACATATTTTTAAAAGGTTTACCCGAGGGTTTACCCATAGGTAGAGAGCCGGATACATACATTACTCGTTGAAATCTTGTGGAGACATTTTTGAATCCAAAGGGCATTCGAATAAATCCGTAATATCCCTTTTTCTACATTCCAAAGATGTTTGTGGTGGTATTAGAGAATAAAAAAATAAATAAATATCTATTGCCGTATCAGGGTGTCCCACGATGGATGGCGTATTAGACGTTTATGGAGAACTAAAAAGCGGATCATTTTGAAAATTTGGCAACGGGGATGAACGACCATAATCTACACTTAATTTTTTTTTTTATGCGGTGTTGCCGCTTCCACTCTAAACCAGTGGCAACATCGCTATTTTAAATGGAACACCCTGTATGTGATTGCATGTTTGGATTCTATGTAAAATTCTGAGCAGATTTCATGTGATATAGGTACCCTACCTAAGTTCATCTGTTTTTGAAATATTGACAGTTGAAAATTGACTTTTTGCAACTTTGACAGGCTGTAAAACCTGAACGGTTAATTTTAGAGGAAAACCTATTTTACATTCCTATCTTAGATTTTTATAAACTATTATTTGACACCAACTTTGAATTTAACTGGAGATTAAATTCAATTGGAATTTTTAATCATGGATTAAATTCAAAGTTGGTGTCAAATGATAGTTTATAAAAATCGAAGACAGGAATGTAAAATCGGTTTCCCTCTAAAATTAACCGTTCCAGGTTTTACAGCCTGTCAAAGTTGCAAAAAGTGAATTTTCAACTGTCAATATTTCCAAAACAGTTGAACTTAGGTATAGGGTATATCACATGAAATCTGCTCAGAATTTTACGTAGAATCCAAATATGCAATCACATACAGGGTGTTCCATTTAAAAAAGCGATGTTGCCACTGGTTTAGAGTAGAAGCGGCAACACCGCATAAACAAAAATATTTTTAAAGTGTAGATTATGGTCGTTCATCTCGGCTGCCAAATTTTCAAAATAATCGGCTTTTTAGTTTTCCATTAACGTGTAATACGCCATCTACCGTAGGACAACCTGTATTGACTCTAGAAATTGAATTTTGAGCAATTTAGGGGCATGAAAGAGTTTTATAGGAATTAGAGCTTCCAATTACAAAGACAAGGAGACAGTTTTGGATAATTTCTGCCTCTTAAAACACTAAACACTAAAAATTAATGTTTTTAACTTTTCGAAGCAGTTTCCAACTTCCAGAGATCAAGCAAATTGAGAAAAACTGCAAAGGAACTTTTTAATGATGAAAGGCCTTTTACAGGAATTACCTAATAGCCTCAACAAAGACTTTGAAAAAGTTTTATTGAAAGAATAGGATATTTTTTGGTTCATTCATTAAATGCCTACATATTTTTTTACATGTATACTATACAAGGTGTCCGGAATAACTTGAAGTACATGAGGATTTTGGAAACTATTGAAGATACAGTGTCGATCAAAGGGGGAAAGAGTTGTGCAAATCAAGGGCCTACAAAAAATCTGTCATCAACTTCTTTGAACTCGAAATAGCAACAGATATACAGGGCAAAAAAGAAAAAAAGTGTGTTTTATAGAATGCTTTATAGGTACCTTATTATACAAGATACAATCAATAAATTTTTAGGGTAAGTGTAGGACTAGATGCAATGTACATACAATAAAAAGATTTTATGAAACACACTTTTTTCTTTTTTGCCCTGTATATCCGTTGCTATTCCGAGTTCCGTAGAAGTTGATGACAGATTATTTGAAAGCACTTGATTGCGCAACTTTTCCCCATTTGGTTCACCTTGTATCTTTAATGGTTTCCAAAATCCCCATGTACCTACCTGAATACTTCAAGTTATTCTGGACACCCTGTATATTTTAATTTAAGAATTTCCAGTTTTTTGATGAATAAACTTTTTTCGATTTCATTTGTTGACTGGAATTTCACAAGTGTTAAGTCCTGTTGTGACGTTATTGTCATGCATTTAAGTGAATGGAATTGCAGAAAATTGTCATTTGCCTTCATGGTCAATAAAAAAAAAATCCTTTAAATTTAACTGTTTATTACAGGCCTGAGTTGTGACAAACTGTAAAAAAATGAAAACACAATGAATATTACAAAAATTATCTACCTACTAAAAAAATCATAGTTCTTGGTTAAACACAAGTAGGAACAAGTGAACATCTTTTTTTTTTTCAAATAAAAAAACTAAACCAAGAAAACGAAAAGACACCTTTCTTTTATAAAATTATCTAAACTAAACTAGGAAAATAAGTAAGAATAATTAATCTATTATTAACACAAACAAGAAAGAATAATAGGATTACAAGTCCTCGTCGTCGTCGGGCAAGGCAGTATTTTGGGCCTCCACCAGGTCTTTTTCAATTTGCTGCTGCCATTGTGGGTCCATGTGTACTTCTGGCGGAACAAGAGCCGGCATGGCTACAAATTCGAGGTTGGGATCACCAATTAGTTTCCGCGCCAGCCATAAAAACGGTTTTTCAAAGTTGTAGTTGGACTTGGCCGAAATATCATAATATTGAAGATTCTTTTTACGGTGGAAAACAATGCTTTTAGCCTTAACTTTTCTGTCTTTTATATCGACTTTGTTCCCACAAAGCACAATTGGGACATTCTCGCAAACTCTGACTAAATCTCTGTGCCAGTTAGGAACGTTTTTGTAGGTTACTCGAGAGGTGACATCAAACATGATGATAGCACACTGACCTTGGATATAGTAACCGTCACGAAGCCCGCCGAATTTTTCTTGGCCGGCGGTATCCCAAACGTTAAACCTAATTTGGCCTCTGTTCGTGTGGAAAACTAACGGATGCACTTCTACTCCAAGGGTGGCTACATACTTTTTCTCAAACTCACCAGTTAAATGGCGTTTTACGAAGGTGGTTTTGCCAGTTCCTCCGTCTCCTACTAGCACACACTTGAAGGTGGGCAATTCTGGTTCTGCGGCCATAGTTTGTATTACCTTTGTAGGTAAATCCCTTACGATCTCAAAGCACCAATAATTACAATAATTTAGCGTTGACAATACAGAAATTCGTTAGAAACCACCACACCACAACAGACAAATGAATTGCTCTTTGCTCGGCTGCAAATGCCGCCAAAAAAAGCTGTGGCGGGCGGGCCCAAAGCAAGTGTCAATATTGTCAACTGTCACAAGAAGAGCAAAGTTGTATTCCTTTCACACCTAGGAGGAGCTCCGGAACAGCTCCGGGGCGTTACGCGGTTATTCCTTTCGAAAAGTGTTTGTTGCACCCGATATGGCAATGTTTGCGCATTCCAGTTTTTGACTATAGTTCATTGGTTGCACCCAATGAACTATAACCAAAAACTGGAATGCTAACACATAAGGACGAACTTGAAGCCTAGTGCGGCTGCTGCGGAGGGGATACCTGTTTTTGTTGCACTCATTATGTTAAATGGCGAAAATTGCTTCCAACACGTATTCCAATTGATGAAACCTGTGAAGGGAAATATGACAAAATTTTCGAAAACGTCATGACATATGTCAGCGAGCAACAGAAAAAAATAACATTCCCCCTTGTGGCATCTGTCTTAACATGGCTTCATTTTTTTGGCAGATATGGCAATGTGCGCATTCCAGTTTTTAGCTATAGTACATTGGTTGCACCTCATTGGTTGCACCTCGCACCACGCATCCATTCCTTTTAGATCGGAAGCGACTAACACCGGAGCGAGTAGCTCGAGTGTTCTTGAAAGGAATACAACTAATGATAGCGATTTCTACCTGTCAATCAGTGCGCACTGAGTGTAATCGCTTTTTTTCCTGAATGCATGTAAAATACATGGATAAGGAAACATTTTTTTTTACACTGATTCTACAAATGGAAATCGCTTTGTGAGAATCGAAGTCATTGGAATCGACAGTGGACACCTGTGGTGGGACTCCGTGCCATGTAGAATTCGATATATCGAATGCCGCACAGCCCGCAACCCGCACAAAAAGCCGGCCGAGCCTATAGAATTCTGTCGATATGTAGAATTCGACAAGACACGGAGTCCCTGGGCTGCATTGAACATAATAGCCGCTTTCCAGCTGTGTGCTTCAAGCACGGTGCCGCACAGTGTTCTGTGTTTGAAACGCAAAAGTTAGCAAGCTCTCGAAGCGCAGTACGCCTGGAATACGAACACGCGCTTGAAGCATTTGCGCGCGCAAAAGCTCGATTGCGTGCTCAAAAGCGTCAGCACTGGTACTGTTCCGAAATCTCTGACCTCAGTGCAATAAAGTGTAGCCCCAGTTTTTTTTAAAGTGCATTTAATTAAAAAACTGTGCGTAAAGTATGTTTTTTTTTTTAAAGATAAAAGTCAAAATGACATTATGTTGGCAATACAATGTAAAATTGTCAATGCTTTCAAATTTTTTATGTAAGAAAGGCTTGTGTTGCCAACATAGTTACTAAATTTTTGACTTGGGGAATTATCTTTAAAAAAAAACAGACTTTATGTATTGGGCATCATGTATTCAACCAACCAAATGTTTTTTTTTAAGTATTCGTTAAATGCAATCAATCGTTTGGTAGTCCCTTTTTGGTATCTCACTTTTATCATTTGGTGGTACTGTACTTACTTTGGCTGTAATCAACAATTCAAAAGTTTATATGACGTTGGCCGACATACCTACTTATAATTAGTTTTATCTAGATAATTTATGAGTCGAATTAAACAGAAATCGTTTGGTAGTCACGAATTTTCCAAATTTGCGAAACTGGCGCGTTGTCTCGCGGACTTCGCTTACTGGATTCAAATTGCCGTTAGGAGCCAGTTTCCAATCCAGTGACGAATTTTAAGGTGCTCCACACCCGTAGCTTCACACTCTGCTGCTCCAAACAACTGTTGTTTCACTGGAACGCATCCTACTTCAAGTGTCATGTTTTTGATGCACCCATAAAATTACAGGTGCTTTTGAGATGGCTGGCGAGGAAAAACGATCAGTTCAATTGCGCGAAATTCTAATGCACTGGAACGCCTATAAACAGACCGGGGCGCTCTAGAGCAGGGATCCGGACAGAAATAAAATATCGGTTCCGTTCCGGTCCACAGCGTCATGACAAATATCGGTTTCGTAACGGTTCCGGTTTTAAGAGAAATATTTCGATTCGGTTCGGACCAATAATTTCGGTTTTAACGGTTCATACCGGTATAGTTTTTCACAAATCTTATAGCTGGGTTCGGGATGGCCCAGCGGAGCTGGAATAGAGTTAAAAACAAATATTTTTCCAGTCTTTTCTATGAATTTTTGGTATTGGGTGCCTATATTTGATTTTGTTGAGAACGTTTATTTCGGAGACTTGTCTAAAGAAGTCATCAACATCAACATTGAAAATTCCAGTGAAATTACGCGTTGCTCGCATGTCAAATAAGCAGTTTAAAATCAATTTCATCCCTTTACCAGGTAATAACAGATTTAGGGCGGGTATTATAAAACTGCTTTGACAGTTAACTTGAAGTTAACTTTTTGAATTACATGTCATTCAAAAAGTTAACTTCAAGTTAACTGTCAAAGCAGTTTTATAATACCCACCCTAAATATTCAAATGATTTGTCGAGTGACTGTCGATTAGTCGATTGTCGCAAACAAAAAAATAGGATAGATGGGCTAGAATCTATGGCTTGAATCGACAGTGGATACCAAGGATAATACACACTAGGATTGCTTATCAGCCTCGTTTTCGGTAATCGCCGCCATATTGGAGTGTCACCATTTCCGACGTCATCACTAAGTCGTCAGCTGTTTACACTAGCGGTCGTAGCTTAGAATTTAAATTTATGAAAAAAATTATTATTTAATTTAGATTGGTATAATAGGTAAAGTAGAAGATGATAACGAGATCTAAAAAAGAGTTGTTTTGAGCCGCGTACAGACCAAATTCCAACGCTAGCCAACCGCACATGTGAACTATGTTGGAACGCGGTGGCTTTGGTGTGTACGGCGGTGAGGACGATGTTCTCAAATCCTTTTCAATGCTTTCAAAATTCCAACACCAACGACAGCACATGTGCCGTTGACGTTGATCTACGTTGGAAATTCGGTTTGTACGCGGCTTTAGAATGTTTAGGCTTTGATTGAGTAAAATCATTGCATAAAGCAAAAGCTCGCAGAATCATAACCTGTGGTGCAAACATCCTATGTCAAGGAGAGAAACGAAATGCTGCTAACGTCACAACTGGTGATTTGGCATGGTGGGGAGCTTCAGATTTGTTCCACACAGGCCTTATGAGGATAGGCTATCCTGTAGTAGTAGTGTGTATTATCCTTGAGTGCACACTGCACTGAACCCAAGAATCCTAAACTCTACAGGATTGCTCAATCGGCTAAATTTGTTCACAATTGCTGTGACGTCACGTGCATCCCGGATTTTCAAGATGGCCGCTGATACGAATGATGTGCTGACAATTATTTTATCGTAAATTCGGATTTATCAAGTGTTATAAGTGTAATTTAAAGTTTCATTTAATGTGTGTAAGCATAAAAAACTCGTGGCTGAAAATACTCGCGAAAACCCCAAGCATTTTCTAGTTTTAGGGGTTTTATAATACTTGATTTGTTGTATCATCAGGACATCGCTTTCTTTTATTCGTGTGTATTGCTAGTTTTCTACTGTTTAGTATTTCCTAGTCAAGCATTTGTATTGCTTTTTTTTTGTAAATCAAATATCTACTTAGTTGTAAGTTTCCTTTGCATGTAATTACTAAAAATTAGTGTTTGTGAAAAGTGAATAAATAAATATGTAAATAAATTCCTTTACTGGCGCATTTACTATGAAAACGCATGGAAAATATGGGAAACTTGCAGTGTTTTTCTGGAATATGATTATGAAAATCTAAATTAGGTATCACTATTTGGCTTTGTGAAATAAGCTTAATTACTTTGAATGTCCCTATTAAATCGTTCTAGTAGGTACCTATTAAACTATTGAATAATAATTGAGAAGTAGGTAGGGGCAGTAAAAAATAAAACACACTATTGCAACCACGTTTTGTTTATATTTTGATATTGATATGCAAAAATTAAACCGGCTCGCTCAAGTTGGCAGCCCACATTTGGTTTTCTACTGTTTCTCAACTGTAGTCAATTGTGCCCGTTTTGTGCTCAATTGTGCCAGTATTTATGCGAATTGTGCTCATTTCCTCAAAGGAAATAACCTCAAAATAACAATTTTTCACGTTTGAAAATGCAAGGATATAATAAAACACAAACCGATCAAGGACTGCGTGACGTCATTCGCATACCGCCATCTTCCATGTTTTTATGAACGTTTGTCTTATGGGATTGAGCAATCCTGTAGAGTTTACGATTCTTACACTGAACGAATCTTTATATTTGATTTGCGCTGGTACTGCTCCGAAAACTCTATGACTTCAGTGAAATGAAGTGCAGCATTAGTTTTTGTTAGAAAGCATTTGATATTTGTAAAACTGTACGTATCTATGAATAATCTGTCGTTTGTTTTCGCCATTTATTAAAAAGAAATTCACCTAAAAAGTGGAAATATTTGGCCCTTCATATTTGCACTGGCACTGTTCCACAAACTCTGAACTCCTAAGGTGCAGCCCAAATTCTCATCTTCAAAGCATTGAGCTCTTCAAAGCTTCATTCAAAAAATTAAATTTACTTTTCTGAAAATCAGTGACCCGGACCGAAATTAAATATCGGTTCCGTTCCGGTTCCGGTCCACAGCGTCATGACAAATATCGGTTCCGTTATGGTTCCGGTTCTAAGAGGAATATTTTGATCCGGTTTGGAGCAATAATTTCGGTTTTAATGGTTCATACCGGTATAGTTTTTCACAAATATCTAACAGAAAAATTTATGTTTCTGTAATTTGTGGTTTATTCTTTATTGGATATCTCTGCCTATCTGCAACAACTTCAATAATAATTATTATTATTAATGATAATAAATTTTTATGTTCCCGATAAGTTAATTACAGTTTTTATTTTTTAACTTTTCCTTGCGTCATCAACATTGAGGACATCATGCATATTCTTGAAGTAAAATATTTCTCATCATAAATGTATATTCTAACTACGATCGCTGGCGCAAACCGCTAAGGACACCGTTGATGACGTCGACAACGGTGCAAAACCATATGAACTTGAATCCAAAAAT